ATATTTATGTTTGTGGTTGTAATGTGACAAAATATGGAAAAGTTCAAGGGGTATGAATACTTTTGCAAACCACTGTATATATAAAACCAAAAATACATTAGAAATGAATGATTTAGAGGCATCAATGTTTTTGTTGATTGGGCTACGTATACAGGAGTTACAGATCTAAATGTTTTGGTCCTTACACTAGCGCCACCCATTGGAATGGACTGATGTAGTTTATTATTGTTATATAGCAGTTACTGTACACTATTTCTGCTATAAAAAACTTCTCAAAATCTTTGACTATTTAGGCTCCAGGACTGATACTGTAATTTTTTTCCTTTAAGACGCTCTAGGCCACACCCACTTTATTTGTGAATAATTGCCTTTCAGGTTTAGGCTCGGGGTGAGGGTCCGAAGGTCTGTGCCAAATTTTGTGAATAAGTGATAAGCCATTTTTACATAAAAATCTTTGTGGTTTATATACCTACTGTATACCTTAATGATTTTCAAACTTGGTCCAGTAACTTAGAACTGACTCGAGTCAGAAGTGTATGATTTTCAACTGATCATGTAGTAAGTAAAGTTTATTTCGATAGCACCTTTCAAAGACACGAACGTTACAAACTAACAGAAAAAATAACAAACAATAAAAACAAATTAATGAATAACAATGAAAAACATTGTAAACAACACTTAATTAAAAGCCTGTCTGAATAAAAATGTCTTAACATGTTTCTTTAAAGAGTCAGTGGAATCTGAGCAGCGAAGAGCTCCAGAGTCTCGGGACCATCACCTGAAAAACTCAGTGCCACAGGTTTTATAATGAGTTCCAGGTACCACCAACAGCATTTGATTAGAGCAGAGGTTCTCAAACTGGGGTCCCTGGACCCCCAGGAGTCTGCGAGAAGTATCTTGGGGGGTCCTCAAAAATTTTTACTAAAATGTTAATTTGGTGTTTTATTTTTAAAAACGCACGGAGAACAATGAACTGATAAAACATAAAAAACTCAATAAAAAATTTATTCCTATGGATTTTAGGGGTTGAAATGACAATAAATTATTTTTTAAAATAGCATGGGGTTTATGAAGGGGTCCCTCAAATTTTTTTAACCCTTGTAAGGGGTCCCCAGATCAAAGTGGCTTGAGAACCTCTGGATTTGAAGGTCTTTAAGTCCTGGATGGACAGAGAGGTGTTAGAATGTCCAGTATGTATTTGYAGGGCTGACCATAAAATGCTCTAAAGGCTAAAAACCAAACATTTGAAATGACTCATAAAAGGTCCAGAGAGCCAGTGCCCTGCATTCTGCAGACTGAAGGTGAGACAGGGAGGATTTGTTTAGACATGTAAAAGACTGTTAGAGTCATTCTGATTTCTGACAGTTACCAAGTTCAGACAGTTTGTCAGAGACTCCAAAGGAACAATATAACTGTACATCATCAGCATACAGATGATATGACACCAGTGGCAGAGCCAGACATTTTTCTCAGGGGTGGCCAGACTGGGACCACTACTCACACAGGGGTGGCCAGACTGGGACCACTACTCACACAGGGGTGGCCAGGAATATTACATCATTTTTTACTTTAAAGTTTCTTTCTGCAGATATCTGTGTTCTGATCATTTCTTTATGTCCTTACACAGTCAGTGACTAACTTCTAAACACGTGTGTCAGAACCATTTTAAAAGTGGGGAGACACAATGTTGGGGAGGAGTCATCCCCCTTAAAATTTTGAACAAAATAGATACCGTTTCCTGCATTCTGGTGTATTTTACCAAGTTTTTAAACATACTCTTACCTACATAAATAAATATTTCATTTAATAATTATTTCAGAGACAAATTATTCATCAAACTAGTTCAATCATCCTGTTCTTAAACTCACTGCTACAGCTGAGATAAGGTTAGTTAAAGTGTCACAATTTTTCATATCCAATGACTTTAGGGGTGCTTTTTACTTTTATATTGTTTATTGATTTATTTTTAATTGTAACAGGTCATTGTGCCAAATATTGATGACCCTCAGCTGCATGTTTAAAACTAATATTAGGTAGTGGGTCACGAGGACCAGAATTGAGAACCATTGTTTTAAAATATCTCCTAAAGGGTATAAATACAATGAAAAGAGGAGTGGGCCCAAAACTGAACCGTGGGGTACCCCACAAGACAGCGGTGCAACATAAGTGTAAACATGATTCATAAAATCAGTAAAAAGGCCTTTCAGATAAATAACAGGTCAGCTGTGTTCCCCTGCTCCACTGGCTTRGACCCATAAAAAGAAAAAAACTGAAAAATATGTTTCACAAGAATCACTTTTTGCTTGTCTGCAACAGCTGAAGCATCCCCAAGTGAGACTAAAAACACCATAAATAAGTGTCCTTTTTAAAACAAATCATTTACAGAATACATATAGTTCCAGGTGCCACAGCCATTTGTGAATTAGGAAGGAATCAGTTGGAGTCTTTTTTTCTGTCGCCAGTGTGAAAGTATGAATAAATTAATGAGAGATGTTGACATTTTTAGGATGTTGTTCTACACTGAAGCAGTTTGACATGATGTTCTGGGTGTTCTGCAAGACTCAACCCTCTATTTAGTAACTTGCCATTAGCTGCGTTTCCATTGCAAATGTGCGCAAAACTTTGTTGATATTCTGTTAATGTCGGAAACACAGTTTCACAACTGCAGTGTTTCCATTAAGTAATAAATGTTATTAAAGTCACGTGAAT